ATCCCGACACCTGGGCCACGAAGACGTCGCGACGCATGTAGAACAAGTCCTTGCGCTGGCGCCTGACCGGTCGAGCGAGGGCGGCCTTCTCGCGCCGCAAGGCTTCGCGCGTGACGTGGTATTTCCGCGAGCGCTTCTGCGCGGCCTCCCTGAGGCACTGCTTAACCCGCGGCTTGGCGACCCAACCCATCAAAGACGTGGTGCGCTTGCGATCACGACACTTGTTAGCTTGATTGCCTTCCTTACGAAGCTGGCACGGCGTGCTGCGGCGCCAGCGCCGGGGAGAGAAGTAGCCAACAAGAAACAAACACTCGATTCGGAGTAACCTGTGGGTGGCTGCGCCCAGTTAGGCTGAGGCGGAGAAAGAAGAGGAATATGAGGATGAGGAGGCGGACGAGGACAAGGAGGAGGGAGGAGGATCAGAGGTAGGAGGAGTAGAAGGAGAAGGTGGAGGAGGAGGAGGAGGAGGAGCAGGAGGAGCAGGAGGAGCAGGAGACGGATCATCGGAGTGGTCGCTCGCTGTGAGGACCCATTGGAGTGCAATCGGCTGGCTTTCAGTCGATTGGCTTGCGATCCATTGGGTTGCAACCGGTTGGATTGCAACCGACTGCGTTGCAATGGGTTTGTTTGAAGTCGGATGGATTGCAAAGCATTGGCCTGCAGTCATGATGAGGCGGATGCCCTCCCAGCCAATCGGCGAGGAGGCTGCGGCGATGAGGATGAGGAGGCGGACGAGTAGAAGGAGGAGGGAGGATGAAGGGTAAGAGAAGGAGGAGGAGGAGGAGGAGGAGGAGGAGGAGGAGGAGGAGGAGGAAGAGGAGGAGGAGGAGGAGGAGGAGGAGGAAGAGGGGGATGATGATGAGGAGGTGAAGGGCGAGGATCAGGGGAGGGAGCAGGATGGGAAGGAGGAGCAGGAGGATGAGGAGGAGAAGGAGGACGACGATCGTCGGGGTGGTCGCTCGCTCAGGGGACGGGGAGCTGGGGGGGCTGAGCACATATTTATTTATTTATTTTAATATATAATGCATATGTATCTGTTTCTCTGTCTCTCTCTGTCTCTCTGTTTCTCTGCCTGTTTGTTTTTTTTTTTTCTCTCTCTCTCTCTCTCTCTTTTTCTCTCTCTCTCTCTCTCTCTCTTTCTCTCTTTCTCTCTCTCTCTCTATGTATATACAGTCCTGTGCGCGCGTGTCTCCTGGGCGCCTTCTTCCTCCACGCGACTGCCTCGTCCAGCCCGCCCACCTGCTACACCATGAGGGATTCGATTGAGCGCGCCCTAACTTGATGCTCGCGACGGCGCCGCCGCCGCGCCGCTGGTGGACAAAATGCGTCTGGCTCTGGTCGTGAGGGCGCCGCCCAGTTGCATTGGCGGGTCTCTGTCTATTCCTCCTCCTCCTCCTCCTCCTCATCTTTCTCTTCCTCCTCCTCCCTCTCTTTCTCTTCCTCCTCCTCCTCCTCTCCTCTCTTCTCCTCCTCCTCCTCCTCCTCCTCCTCCTCCTCCTCCTCCTCCCCCCTCCTCTCCCCTCTCCTCCCCCCTCCTCCCCCCTCCATCCCCCGCTCCTCCTCCTCCCCCTCAGACGTGGCAAGGGGGCCGGCCCTCGGCCTTCCCCTTCGACACCCAAGTGGCACCTACCTGGCTGCTGCCCTTTTGTCTTCTCGCCGCCGCCGCACGCGCGCGTCCTGCTGCGGGCGCGCGTCTTCCGCGCGGAGCTGAGCTCAGCGCAGCTCCCTGCGTCGGTACGCTTCAAGCAGTGGCGAAGCGTAAGAACGGTTTTTTGAAGGCAGATCTGCCTTCAAAAGAACGGTTTTTTGAAGGCAGATCTGCCTTCAAAAACGTTTTTCTTTTTTGAAGGCAGATCTGCCTTCAAAAAACCGTTTCTTACAAGGCAGATCTTCCTTCAAAAACGCGGTCTTCCGCCGCGGAGGCGCGGAGCTGAGCTCAGCGCAGATCGCCTTCGTCGGTAAATCTTTCAGCGTGGCGAGCGTCCTGCCCGCCTATAGGCCTGCCAAACACAAGGTTCCAGGAACCTTGTGGTTTCTTTCTTCTGCGGAAGTATGTTTCTTAGAACGCTTCTGGCTGGGACTGTCCTTTTTTACCACATCGGGTTAAGAACATTGCTTGTGTCAGAAACTTAAGCCATTTTTTGGGGTCGACAGAAGTCGTGGCAGGCCTATAGAGCTGCCGGGACGGTCGGTCCCTGCTCATAAGCTGGGCCCTGAGGGCCCTCGCGGGGGCCCCCGGGCCGTGTCCCCCCCGGGCGCGCGAGCCCACCGCAGTGTGCATGGGGCCGTGGCCCAGAGGTCTCGGATCCAGTGCGAAGTGCAAAGGATTGAGGCGCTGCGAGCGCGGATCCAGCGCAACTCATAAGAAGGATCGTGGCGGTGGGAGTCTGGGCCCAGCGTGATCTACCAGGGATCGTCCCAGGACGCGTCCTGGCGCGTCGCGCGCTGCGTCACGTGTCACGTCCCAGGTCACATCCCTTGGCACGTTCCTTGGCGCGTCCCCTGGCACTCCGACTGGCGCGGCGGGCACGTCGTGTGGCGCGTCCCCTGACCCGCCCCCTAGCGTGTCTCATGGCGCGACCCTTCCGTGCCGCATCCCATGGCCTGTCTCTTGGCGCATTCCTTGGCGTGTCCGCCTGGCGCTGCCCTTGGCCCGTCCCCTGAAGCGTCCACTGCCGCGGCCCCTGGCAGGTCCACTCGCGCCCCTGCCGTGGCACATTTCCTGGCTCGTCCTCTGGCGCGTTCCCCGGCTCGTCCTCAGGCGATCCCCTCGCACGTTCCTTTGGCGCGTCCCTTGGCGCGTCACTGGCCACTCCTCCGGCGCGTCCCCTGGCACGCCCCTTGGCACGTCCCGTGGCAGGTCCAAGAAATTTCCATGGCATATACCTGGGACGCCCCCTGGTACGTCCCCTGGCACACCCCCCGGTGCGCTGCTGGCACATCCCGTGGCGCGTCCATGCGCCCTGCGCTCCCAGTTGGTTCGTCTCGGTTCGGAACTGAATGGGATCTTGAGCTCAAGCTGCTCGAGCACCCCACACGTTTCGATTAAAAGCCAGCTTTGGGCGTGCCATGCGATCAGGCAGCTCGAGTTAAAGGTCCGCATCAGCTCGGTGTAGATACCAGCGCGAAGGACGACAATGTTCACGATGCAATGCAGTACAGCACCTTTTTTAACACAGCGTGGCTTAGCACAATGCAGCACGGCAAGGTACAGCGCGGCGCAGCACAGCACAGGCTCTGGCACGACATTAGCACTATCGATGTTATCAGCGATGCCACGGCCCATTGCCCACATTCAGGGTAGTTTGCATCTTTTTCTCGGTTAGTTTGACCGATGCTGTGTCCTCATTCAATTCATCCGACGTGTAGGCAGTGATTCAGCGAATGCAGCTGTCAAGAAGGGCACGCTTCGTCAACCCTCTTCTGCTGAGCTCAAGGACGAGGAGCACCGTTCGATGCTCGTTGCTGGTGTTGTGGCGGTGGCCCATCTCCTAATTACCGCTTTGGCTTCACCTTGACCTCAATAGGGTTCCTTCGCCTGCCCCCTCAGAACCGCTGTCGCACAGTGCTTGCGGTGAGCAAATACCACAGCGTGCCGCTCCTGGTGCTCACGCCCCGAAGCGTGCGAGCCTGGACATCTGGCGCGCCTGGGCCCGCGACAATTCTTGCCCAGGAGGGCGAGCCGCTGACCTCAACTCCATGCCCTGCAGCCCGTGCAGCAATGGAACACACATATCGCTGCTAGACGTTAGACCCCACATCGCTTGTGTCTCGTGGCTTGCAGCGCTGAAGCCCCTGACGCGATCGCTGTGCAAGGGCAGCTGCCAGGGGGAGGTCGCTTGCAGGGCCTCCCCCCCCCCCTGAGGCATTGCGGCAAGGCACCCGCTGCCAGGCACGACCGACCCAGTTCGACTCGTGGTCAAGATGGGCAGGTGCTTTGGCGCTCGCTGGAAGGGCTGGCTGAGTGCGCGCGGGTTCCAGCTAGCGCGTGCTGCGCAACCTGTCCTGCAGGGCCTCGGTCAGATCGGGCTGCCACGCGGCCGTCGGTGGCGCTCCGCGCGCGCGGCAGGCCGTTGGGGCCGCAGGCCTCGCGTCCGCGTGGGCCGACCAGCGGCTTGCTACGCAGGGGACGCGTGCGGCAAATATTTGCGGCGCCCTGTCTCCAGCTGCTCCTCCTCGCCCAGATGGAACATCACACGTTTTTTTTGTACGACTACCGGTTGTCAAAAAGACCGCACGGTGGATGGATCAGTACACGTTCTTGTATGACTACCGGTTGTACCCCCACCCTCCCCCCCCCCCAAAAAAAACGGTGTTACGCTCCATCCTTTCCGAGGACAGCATAGCCCACCAGCCCCCCCCCAGCCAGGACCCCCACTCCCGACCTGGTGATCCACGGGGTCCTGGCTGGGGTTGGGCTGGCAGCAACAGCCACCCTCACCCTTAGCCAGGACCCCCATGGCCCCTGGATCGCCGGGTGGTGAGTGGGGATCCTGGCTGCAGGGTGGGGGCTGGGCTGTGCTGGCCTCACCCTCCTCTTGCCTCAGCCTTCCTCCTCCTCCTCCTCCTCCTCCTCCTCCTCCTCCTCCTCCTCCTCCTCCTCCTGCACTCGGGGAAACGCAAGACTCGAGTAAGCCGGAACTCGTGTTTGCCGACGTTTTTTGACAAGCGCGTCCTGGATTTTGACGGTCCAGTTTCCGTGGGATGTTCCCAGCGGGAGATCGCGTCAAATTTCAGGTTGGGTCTCGTCAGTTTTACGATGGTCCCGCCAGGCCAACCCGAGTCCCCCGTACCCGAGTCTTACGTCTTCCCGATGCACCTCCTCCTCCTCCTCCTCCTCCTCTTCCTCATCCTCCTTCCTCCTCCTCCTCCTCCTCCTCCTCCTCCTCCTCCTCCTCCTCCTCCTCCTCCTCTTCCCTTCCTCCTCCCTTCTTCTCCCCCACGCGAAACTCAGGCGAGCCTGGCGCCCCTCGCCCCGACGGCCGCACGCGTGTCCGCAGGTGGAGGCGTCCGTGGCGTCCGACGTGCCCGTGCTCTTCGACAAGCTGCACCAGGCACCTCCCGGGGACGAGGACGACGACGACGAAGTCGACGTCGCCCTCCTCCTCCTCCTCCTCCTCCTCCTCCTCCTCCTCCTCCTCCTCACTCCTCCTCCTCCTCCTCCTCCTCCCCCTCCTCTCCTCCCCCTCCCCCTCCTCCTCGCTCCTCCTCCTGCTCCTCCTGCTCCTTCTCCTCCTCCTCTCTTCCCTCCTCCTCCTCCGCCTCCTCCGCCTCCTCCCCCTCATCCCCCTCCCGACGACGACGACGACGACCGTTTTTCGATCACAGGGGTCGGGCCCCGGGGCCCTCAAAGAAAGCGCTCCGGCTCAAAAAAGGTGACGCAGAAAGGGTGGGGTGTTGGGGTCAGATCGTGATACATGGCGATGTGGAGCAGGGAGCAGTAGGGAGGACAGGGAGATTGGAGGAGGAGTCAGGAGGAGCCAGGGAAGAGGAGGAAGAGGAGTGAAGGCACTCGTCCCGGGGGCGCAGCGCCGGTGGGAGCGCCGAGCGCGGGCAAAGGGTCGGGCTCTTCTGAACTGACCGGGGGCCACTGGGCGCTTCGCAGGCGGCTCTGCGAGGAGGCCATCTACCGCGGGCCCAGCGGGGCGACCTCGTCGTCGTCGTCGTCGTCGTCGTCGTCGTCGTCGTCGTCGTCGTCGTCGTTGTCGTCGTAGTCGTCGTCGTCGTCGTCGTCGTCGTCGTCGTCGTCGTCGTCGTCGTCGTCGTCGTCGTCGTCCTCACTCCCACTCGCGTGCTCCTCCCCGCTCCTCCTCCTTCCTCCTGCTGCTCATTCTGCTCTTCCTCCTCATGCTGCTGCTGCTGCTGCTGCTGCTGCTGCTGCTGCTGCTGCTGCTGCTGTACCTCTTCCTCTTGTCCCGCCTCTCCTGCTGCCGCCGCTCCGCCTCAGCCTCCTCGTCGTCCTTCCTCTTCCTGCTCCTCTTCTCTCCTCCTCCTTCTGCCACTCCCGCGCCCCCCTCATCCTCCCTTCCTCCTTCTCTTCGCCCTCATGGTTCGGATGGTCCATCGCCTCATCCTGCCTCCCCTCGTTGCTCTTCCTCCTCCTGGGGGGGCGCCCCCCCCGCGGCGACCGGCGGGCGCGGCGGGCGCCGCAGACGGCGGCAAAAAGAGAGGGGCCGGCATCAACCAGGGGTGGAGGGGCCGACCAGGCAGGAGGAGGAGGAGGAGGAGGAGGGAGGAGGAGGGAGGAGGAGGAGGGAGCAGGAGGAGGAGAGGATTCCTCTCGCTTCGCGGGGTGCGCGTCCGGGGCACGTGCAGTCAGGCCGTTGCGGGGCCTCCTGGCGGAGCGTCTCGGGGGCCTCGCGGAGGTGTCCCAGTGCTTCTTGGTTTCGGACGTCTTCTTCGGCTCCTGGAGAGGAGGAGGAGGAGGAGGAGGAGGAGGAGGAGGAGGAGGAGGAGGAGGAGGCTCTTGGACGAGCGGGCCTTCAAAGCTGACGGGCGCGCCCGGTTCTGGGCTGGATGCCTCCCCGCCTGTGCGCACGTCGATCTCCTTCCGGCCTCGTTCTGAGGCTGCGCCCCCCCCTTCTCCTCCCCCCTCTATGCGTAATTCAGGCTCTGCGCGGCCCGCTTAGCTTCGACCGGAAGAGGTGCGCTCTCGACCCGCGAATCAAAAGATTGTGCGCACGTCGATGCGCTGGGGATTGAGTTTTGGAGGGCGGTGGCCAGCGCCCCGCGGCGCGGCCTCCTGGGCTGAGTTGAGGTTAGAAGCCCTGGGGGGCGCTTTTGGGTTGTGTTCCAGTTTGCACGCTTTTTTTGTTTGTTTTCCTTTTCGGTGTTCGGCCAGCCAAGGCGGCACAAGATCTTGGCGAAGGTCCCAACCATGTTCAGCTGTGGGTCCCGCACTTGCGATTGTCGCTTTCGGTGGAGCTCCCGTGTTGGGGGCCCCAAAACGTGTGAGGGGTGTGCCGACATATGCAAGCCTGGGGGCGCATGCGGGCCCTGCAACTGGGGCCTTCGGCGCTCGCGTGTAATGGGGTGTGCCTGAGTGGTCCATGGGGGCGCATGCGGGCGCTGCCATTGGGCCTTCGGTGGACCTCCCCATGGAGCCACAAAACGTGTGGGTCGGGGGACAAGGGTCGGGTGACCGCCTGCGTACCCCCTTCCATAAAACTTTTAGTTTGGAGCTCCATGTGAGGTCACGGAATGTGTAAGGGGTGTCCCGAAATGGACTGGGGGACCGCATTTGGTTCCCCCCCTGGGGCTTTAGTTGGAGCTCCTTGTGGGCCACGAAGCGTGTGAGGGATATGCCGAAATCGGCTGGGGAACTGCATGCGGTATCCACCCCTGGGGCCTTATGTGAAGCTCCTTATGGGACCACGATGCGTGTGAGTGGTTTTCTGGAATGGGTTCGGGGATCGCATCTGGTGCCCCCTCCCCTCCCTGAGGCTTTAGTTGGAGCTCCCTATGGGGCCACGAACCGTGTGAGGGCTGTGCCGAAATGGGCCGGGGGACCGCATGTGGTACCCCCATATGCGGTCTTAGTTGGAGCTCCCTGCGGGGCCACGAACGTGTGAGGGGTGAGCCGACATGGACATGCGGAGAGCAGAGGGCAGAGGCATGAACGATGTTGAAGATCCACGCGTAGCATGGCATAACATGGCGTGGCGACGCCCCAAGGTGGGGGGGGGGGGGCTTCTGCGGCCCCCATGATCAACGAATCGACACCGAATGAATGTCTAATCACTTCTGATGTTTTTGTCGAGAGGCCATTTTCTGGATTTTGGGGGCTGTTTGGAAGGACCGAAAACCATGCCGTGGCATGGCACTGGAAATAATGACGCCAGCGCTGCAGCGGGAGCACGATTCGTGACGAGCGGAAGCCCGGAAATGAGGCCAGCGCTGCAGCGGGAGCACGATTCGCCACGAGCGGGAGCCCGAAAATGAGGCCAGCGCTTCAGCGGGAGCAACATTTTGAAAAACGGCCCGAGCGAAAACCCAGTTCCCGGGAATCTTATGTGCAAAAGTACGCGCAAGGGGGGCCGGATATCTTCCGGATGTCATCAGGGGAGAAAGGAGAGTAGTATTCATAGTGTGTAATTGTGGAGGAGAAGAGGAGGACGTGGGGCGTTGTCTCTCCAAAGCGAGGACCCACCACTACAGGAGGTTTTGGGGGAAAAACGGCAGCCCAGAATTGAAAAACAGATGGCAGCAGAAGGCGGAACCGAACCGAAAATGGCGCGGACGAGAATCACAAAACGGAGAATTCATTTGACCTCAAAACGGAACCACCTTGGCGAAGAACCCAACCCATTCTAAACGCGTAGCGGTTACCAGCCGGAGCGTTCAATGTACATGAACATATCGAGGGATACGCAATACCCTGGAACGCTTGGAAAAATAGTTGTACAGTAAATTCAAAGCCGCCCCATTCACGCGTGCACTCTCACTGGGGCCTGCACTGGAGCTCCGCATGGGGCAACGAAACTTGTGAGGGTTGTATTCAGAAATGGACCCGAGTACACATGCGAACCATGCCATTGGAACCTTCGATGACGCTTGCTATGGGGCCACGGAATCTTTGAGGGGTATTCCAGAATGATCCCGACAATACATTCGACCCCTGCCACTAAGGCCTCCGGTGGAGCTACATTTGGGGCCACGAAACGTGTGAGAGGTGCGCCGAAATGGACCCGAGTAAGCATGCGAACCCTGCCACCGGAGCCTGCTTGGGAGCACCTTGTAGGGCCACGAAGCGTGTGAAGTGGCGCCAGGCTGGACCCGAGTACGCATGTGAATCCTACCACTGGAGCCTTCGGCGGAGCCCCCTCATGGGGCCACGACTCGTGCAAAGGGTGCGCCAGAATGGACCCTAGTACACAGGCGAAACCTGCCAACGGGGCCTTCGGTGGAGCCCCCTTATGGGGCCACGAAGCGTGTGAGAGGTGTGCCGATCTGGTCCCGAGCACGTATGCTAACCCTCTTCGGTGGAGCTCCTTATAGCGTCCCAAAACGTGTGAGCGGTGCGCCGATCTGGACCCGAGTTCGCAAGCGAACCCTGCCAACGGGGCCTTCGGCGCAGCTCCACATGGGGCCACGAAACGTGTGAGGGCTGTGCCGACATGGACCCGAGTACGCATGCGAACCTTGTCACTGGAGCCCCTGGTGGAATTCCCTATTGGGCTACGAAGCCTCTGAGGGGTGCGCCAGCATGGGCCCGCGTACGCACGCGGACCCTGCCACTGGAGCCTTCGGCGGAGCTCCCCTATGGGGCCACTAAGCGTGTGAGGGGTATGGCGAAAAGGTGATGCCAATGATGGTGATGGCAACGGTTATGAAGGCGATGATGATGACGACAACGATGATGACGATGATATGGATGACAAGGCTCAGGAGGAAGAGGAGAGGAGGACTGACGGGGCAGAGGAAGGAAGGTGATGATGATGGTGATTGTGACGACGACGGTGATGTTGACGATGACGATTATGATGATGCGGGTAATGATGATGTTAATTATGATGATGCTGATGATGCTGGTGATGATGATTCCTATTGTGATAATGATGGTGGCGATGAACAAGCTGGTGGTGATGCTGATGATGATGATGATGATGATGATGATGATGATGATGATGATGGTGTTGAGGATGGTGGTGACGATGGCAATGGTCACGATGATGATGATGATGATGCTGATGATGTTGAGGATGATGGTATTGCTGTTAATGATGATGATGATGATGATGATGATGATGATGATGATGATGATGATGATGATGATGGTGATGATGATGATGATGATGATGTTGCTGATCATGTTGGTGATACTGGTGACGATAAGGATTGCGATGTTGCGGATGATGCTAGAGCTGACGATGGTGATGTTGATGCTAGTAATAATGATGATGATGATGATGATGATGATGATGATGATGATGATGATGATGATGATGATGATGATGATGATGCTGATGCTGATGATGATGATGATGATGATTATTGATAATGATGATGATGATGATGATGATGATGATGATGATGATGATGATGATGATGATGA